AGGAGAGTAAGGTAGGAAGAAAATTAGAGTATGATATCCTGAAAGCCACTTGAAGAACATGTTTCAAGGAAGAAGGAGTGATTCACTGTGTCAAATGTTGCTGATAGTTCTTACAAAATGGGGACTGACCCTTGGATTTAGTAGTCTCTACATCTCCTTCACATTACTTAACAACATTTGTAATTAAACTATTGATTTTATAACTTGGCTAATGTCTTCCTTGCTAGAAAGTTTCTTAAAGGTAGAGACAGTATCTGCTTTGTTCATTTTATTGTAGTCCTTGTAGACGTTCGGTAAATGTTTGATGAATTAATGAATGTACAGTATGATTACATTCTGCCTAGCTCCAAATTAGACATTCTGAACAGAACATTGCATGACAGCGAATGTGGAGGACACTACCAGGATTGACAAGTGAAATCAGTTCACTTCCAACGTCTTTGCTTTAGCTTTGAGATATTCATTTTAGAAGTTTTACTAGACATCTTGGAGCCATTGGTATTATTTGGGGCCTAGACTTGATGGCACAGTAAACTGAATTTACAGTCCTGTTCCTTGCAGTACATGACACAATGAGTACATGAGTACAACTTGAGCAATTGTCTGGAATGTTGGGTAGGTGTGAGGTTGTTGTGGGGAGGTGGATGACTAAGTCCCAGGTCTTGATTGCCCAAGTTTAGGAGCTTGAATTTTAACTTGTATTCAGTACAGAGCCACTTCAGAATTTTAGAAGCAGGAGAGCAGAGGAAAAATCGGAGCAGTGGAGTGATAGGGTTGCTGATGAGGTTTAAGAAGTTTAATTTGGCATCTGAGTGTAGGATGTCTTGTGAGATCGTGGAGAGAGGAGGCAGGAAAGCTAGCTAGGATATTGCATTATTCATGACTCAGGCAAGAAAATGGATTCTAGAGGGTGTCCAGGCTCCTGGCTCTTTGTGAGGCTTCTATTTAAAAAAATAAAACAGGTTTTCTCTTCCTAGACTGTATAGAGCAGCTCTTCATGCTTGCTGGAACCAGTAATCTCCCAACATTATTCCCTTCAAGGAAAAGGAGATTTATTGCACTTAATGGAATGGACACAGTGTAACCTATATTAACCACGATCAGAACAGTGTCCTGGTCCACTCTTTGTCCTCTCTGGTTCAGTGTTCATTCTGTACACTGGCTACATTTTCCGGTCTGGATTTATAACTTTTCACCCCATTGAATTCAACCCATCCAGAGAAGTGGTCAGAGAACAGGCCTTAGTAGTTTAATAACATGAAGATCTCAAGCCCCAGCTATGTCAGCTTCAGAAGTGTAAGTTTTTCTTTTTACAAGACTGCCTTCATAGTTTCTGCCAAAACGGAGGGCGAGGAGGCGGGTGGCCTGCTGTTCAGAATGCCTGCTGCCTCTTACCTCTTGAGCGTTCAGAATGAGCGTGGTAGAGGGGGGAAGTCCACTTGGGGATAGAAATCAACGGAGGCTGGGTTGCAGAGCCTGTGAACCCAGCTGCTGATGGTGGTCCTGGCAGCCGAGACGACGATAGCAGAAGTGTCACAGAGCAGCTGCAGTCCTCTGTCACGTGGACCACACTACAAATAGACACAGGGACTCAGCTGACCAGGGAGGTCAGGGAAATGAGGTAATAGCTGGTCTCCCTGGTGCTAGAAACCAAAACTAGTTTCCCTGTTTTTTTAAGGCACTTGCTTACCAACTTGTTTAAATAACAGTTCATCTATATTTCACTGATTCTGCGATGCCCATGTTTTCATATTTTTACATCTTGGATATCAGGATGCTCTTACTATTGATGATGTACCATAGTTTAATTTGGCACATGTTCTTTTTTCTCAGTGGTACACTTTATAATCAATGATATCTTTGGTTCAGTGAGTACACAAAGAATATGTGTGTGTGTTTGGGGGCTGACAGTTGTTAAAGAGGTGAGACAAGCTTTCTTTCCAGAGGAGGCGGAGTCAAAGACAATGCTGATGTCTTAAGTCTGATATGTACTCTATATGTTTGTGTGAAAAGGACATCTTTGGTGGGTTTTTTAAAAAGATTTTATTTATTTGAGAAGAGAGAGAGCGAGCATGGGGGTTGTAGAGGAAGGAGGGAGAAGCAGACTCCCCACTGAGCAGGGAGTCTGGCACCAGGACCCTGAGATCATGACCTGAGCTGAAGGCAGATGCTTAACCAACTGAGCCACCCAGGCTCCCCTCTTAGCTTGATTTTAAGGCTCTTCTTACTGTTTTTGTGTTTTGTGCAGTCTGCAATCAGGAGAATCAGTTGAAAGCTATTAGATGCTTCTCCAATTATTCCTTAATAATACTTAAGTTTAAGGGTCACCTTTAGGATTCTTGTGATCCAAGGCATATCAGGTTTCTTTAAAATTTTTGCTTATTTTTGCTCATTCATCAGTGAATTTTCATTTGATGTATTCTATTGTGAACCTGCTTTTATTGTCAGTTTTATAACCTATTAGGGTAGCCTGTGACATTGCAAAACCTTTGTTGAAAATAACTCTGGCTTATTTCTTGATTTTGAGCGTCTATGCCTTCTTCGTATCTTCCATAGAAAGATTACTGAAGTAAAGATAGGTTGGGGAAATCATTCATTGTTCTTAGGTTATGTATATGTGTCTATACATATGAACACACACAACACGTGTATACATCCATGACATCTTCTTAATTTAGAGTTTTAAGAATTCTTACACCATTCATGTAGTCTGTAATGAGACTAAGTGTATACATATGCATATAGTTTTAAGGTGCACTGTATTGAAATCTTTTTTTAAAGTTTATTTTTTTAGATTTTTTATTCATTTAAGAGAGTGAGAGAGTACAAGCTGGAGGAGGGGCAGAGGGAGAGGGGGAAGCAGGCTCCCCACTGAGCAGAGAGCCCAATGCAGGGCTTGATGACCCAAGCCAAAGGCAACTGCCTAACTGACTGAACCACCCAGGCACCCCAAAAGTTTATTTATTTTAAGTACCTCTGCACTGAACATGGGGCTCGAACTCACGACCCAGAGATCAAGAGTCGCATGCCGTCCTAATTGAGCCAGCCAGGTGCCCCTATATTGAAATATTTTTAGAAAAATTCTACAGTTCAAGTGCCTGGGTGGCTCAGTCGGTTAAGTGTGTAACTCTTGGTTTCAGCTTGGGTCATGACCTCAGGGTCCTGAGATCAGGGCCCATGTCAGGCTCTGCACTGGGCATGGAACCTGCTTGGGATTCTCTCTCTCCCTGTCCCTTTCCCCTTCCCCCTGCCTGTGTGCATGTGCGCTTGCTCTCTCTATCTCTCAAAAAGAAAAAGAAAAATTCTACAGTTTATGGAAGCGAGATAACTAAACTCTAAGAATGCCCTTTAGTTTCAGGTGGTTAAGATCCTGGCTCTGAAGTCAAGTCAAGCTGTCAGGTGTTTGAATTCTAGCTCCTGTAATCTTGGACAAGTTACTTAACCCCTCCCTGCATGAGTAATCTCTTCTATAAAATGAGAATGATAACAGTACCTACCTCATAGAATTCATTCAGATAACTTATGTAAAGTATGTAGCAACATGCCCAGCAGAGGGCGCACTTGATAAATATTAGCTGCCATTTTTTATTAATAAGGTATCACATCAAGAGCAAAACCAGAGCTCTTGAACTTGGTTAAGCAAAAAAATTTCTTCTTAGTAGAGGAACTGCTGTTATAAGGTAGGGACATATTTTCTAACTTAGTGCTTTTAGGAAATTCCCCAAGTTAATTGTGCTGTCTTTGAAGTAGGGATGTATGCTGGAATGTAATCACCATGAAGGTAGGGGCTTTTGTCTGTTTATCAACTCATTTGTTCCCAATCCCTACAATAATGCCTGACTTATAGTAAGTACTCTATCACTATGTGTTGAATGAATGGAAAGGGGTCAGTGGCTCTTAAAAGCTATAAACTTTTCATCGTGTGGACTGAATTATGTAATTTATTCCAGTATGTAATGATTTAAAATGATGGTTTAACAGTGGTATGGAGAGAACTTTAAATTACTAGAGACTGAAACCTAAAGTACTTAAGTTGACTTGTTCAAAATATAAGCTAAATATATAAGTAAATTGAGATAAGTTACTGTTCACAACTTTGACATTGTATAATTAATAGTGTACTATGAATGGTAGAATTTCAAGTTACTTCATAAAAAAAAACCATAGAATTTAAAAATCACATGCACCTAAAACAAGGGCGTCTGGGTGGCTCAGTCAGTGAAGTGTCTGCCTTCGGCTCAGGTCATGATCCCAGGGTCCTGGAATGGAGCCCTGCATGGGGCTCCCTGCTTAGCAGGGAGTCTGCTTCTCCCTCTTCCTCTGCCCCTATATTCTTTTTTTTTTTTTTTTTAAGATTTTATTTATTTATTTGACAGACACAGCAGGAGAGAGAACACAAGCAGGGGCAGAGGGAGAGGGAGAAGCAGGCTTCCTGAGGAGCAGGGAGTCTGATGTGGGGCTTGATCCCAGGACCCTGGGATCATGACCTGAGCCAAAGGCAGCCGCTTGACGACTGAGCCACCCAGGTGCCTCTGCCCCTATATTCTAATAGAGGGGTGAGACAATAAATTTAGGGAATGAGCTCCATATTTAGAGACAGGAAACTGAGGCCCATAGAGGTTAAAGTCACTTGCCAAAAAACACAACATAGTTGACATAAAAATCCTGCTCACCTGCCTTACTGCTCAGTGCTTTTTCTGTTACACCTTCCTGGCTTTCTTAACTTTCAAGACTGGTATGCAAATTCCTGAGCATTTTAAGTCAGAAGTCTAATTGAATTTTGCAGTGAGTCTCACAAAGGAGTTCTATTTTATGAGGCAGTGCTGTGTAGAGTAAGGAATGTGTATTCTATCCAGTCATGTCAGAACATTTGGCAAATCCCTTAAGCTTTCTGGATCTTGTTTTCATCACCTGTGAAGTAAAGTGATCAGCTGTCTTGTTTGTTACTTCCACAGTCCTCCTGTTTCATTTGGAGTTCTCTGTGTGTGTTCTCTCCGCAGCCATCCACACTGCTGCTATGGATATGCTGGGAGGATCTGGTATTGAAAGCCAGTGTAGAAAAGTTGATATCATTGCAGATGCTGCCTATTCCATTTTTAAAAAGCCAAAAAGTTTTACTGGAAACTTTATTATTGATGAAAATATCTTAAGAGAAGAAGGAATAAAAAATTTTGACATCTATGCAATTAAGCCAGGTAATGCTTCCAGTTTTTAAAAGTAGTGATGTATTTTAAAAGCTATCCTCCCAACGAAGGGGAATACCATACCAGCACAACTTCAAAAAGAGAGAAAGGAAAAATGGAAGTGAATTGAGGACTTTACAGGGATGTACAGATACAGAAGGCACATCAGCTATTAGCCATTTCCAAATCTTGAAACTAAAAATGAAAATTGGTTTTTAAAGTTGATCTTAAAATCACAGAGTAAAGACTTTATTCAAGGATGTGGTAATAGGTGATATAGGAGTCCATTTTCTGTGAAAACTTTTTAGGAATATGGACTCTTTCCAAATGTTTTTCTCTTAAGTGCAGTCTCTTAGAGTAGCTAGCTTACTGATGGGTGGTGAAGGCCAGTGAACACAGTCTGCCCTTTGTACAAGAGTATGATTTGAGAAGTTCTCAGCTGGCCCCCTTGTTCAAAAATCATTCTTCCTCTCTGAAATTGCAGTCATGATGGTGATGATCAGGCATTTTTACTTTATGTATGAAACATAATCTATATTAAATAATAGACAATATAGGTGTAAACAGTTCTATTTATTGGTGCAAAAGTGTGTTTCTAAATACTATTCATTAGGTTGTGCTTCCACATGTTTATATTTGTGTCATCCCTGTCTCTTCAGTTTGAACTGAATTAAATAGCTCTTTATGGTTTTACAAAGCAGTTTCATGTACATTATCTATTTAACCCTCACAGCAATCCTGTGAGGGAAGCAGTGTTGTTTAGGGATTAAGAGCATGGAGTTTGGGAGAAGACAAGCCAGGTTCAGATTCCAGCTCAGTTGCTCACAAGCTATGTGACCTCTGGCACGTCACCCACTTTCTCTGAGCGTCACTTTCCTTACTGGTAAAATTAAGGGAATAATAGCTTCCATACAGGGTTTTTTTAAGAATGAAATGCAATAGTGTGTATAATGTGCTTGGCACAGTGCCCAGCATATGACACAATCGCAGTACTCAGTAGGTAGTATTTACAGTAGAAAAAACAGGCTCAAAGAGATTAGTCTTTGCGTAAGAGCAGTCAGCTAATAAATGGCAGAACCTGAACAAGGTGCAGGTCTTCTGGGTCCTGAGACAGTGTAATTATCACTTTAGGTTTTAAAGACACAGTGTCATTGTGCACAAAATCTTAAATTTAAGATTAAAAATCCTATCAAGTGTAGAGAACATAAGATGAATGCTTTGATAAGCATTAGGATATAACAAAGACCAATGCACTCCTGACCTCCAGTTTTTTTTTAATCTTCTGAGAGGGAGAGACAGAGATGGGAAACAAGTCCTTCTTAATGAGGAACCCCCTTCTCTCACGGGGCCAGAAATGAGTCCTGAGCACTTTGGAGGGATGTAGGACAGAGGGTTGCATGGATAGATGAGGAGGGGGCAAAGCCTCCTGGGAGAGCAGTTGAGGGCTTAACGTAACAGGTGGCTCTGTGATCAGATCTTAGAGGTGAAATTTGCCATAGGAGAGGAGGATAACTTGGTGATGGGAAAAGTATTTTATTTTATTTTTTTAATACTTTTTATTGTTATGTTAATCACCATACATTACATCATTAGTTTTTGATGTAGTGTTCCATGATTCATTGTTTGTGCATAACACCCAGTGCTCCACGCAGAATGTGCCCTCTTGGGAAAAGTATTTTAGCTTCGTGAAGGTCAAGTAGTTTGACACTTCTCACGGGAGTCTTTTCCATTGCGCTAGAATGATCATTACAATAAAAACAGATACAATGTTCATTAAACAGGTGTTAAATCTAATGTATTGACGTTGTCATAGTAACCTGAGTATTTTTGGGGTCAATTTTCCAGGCCATCCTTTGATACCAGATTTCTTCTTAGATGAACACCCAGATACAATTACCAAGAAAATGGAATCACATGGTAAGACATAGACCATATTTTATGTAGGAAAATAAAGATGCTAAGTATGTATTTCTTTCAGAATATAAAATTGGACATTTCTGCCTTATGCTTTTAAACCATTTTGTAATTTAAACTAGACAAGTATATGTGGGCTTAGTTAATTCAAGCAAGGAAGGTTGTCTTTTCCTTCTACCAGTAAGAAGTTATTAATAGATTCTTTTCATTTGATTATTTAAAAAGAAAACAAACCCTTTTTAAGGTTTTATTTCTTTTCCTTGGCACTGTCTTTAGGTATTTCATGTTGATGTATTATTTTATTTTGAGGAAAAATGTGTCACATCGAAGTACACTTAATACCATTCTCAGAGTTTGTGCTGTGTGACTACTTTATGGGAGAAATTAACTTCAAAGGAGGTTTTGGTTTTACTTTATTTTGTTTTTATAATTGGTCCAGAGTTCAGTCTCTGTGTTTGATGTTATGCCACTAGCTTACTGAAAGATGTCAGAAGAAACACTCTTTAACAAATACCCATGAGAAGAATCTCTTTCATGCTTTATTAACAAGAATAGCTGTGCTTCTCCTGGGCCCTTACCTTATTTTTATCTTGTAGAGACTGTGAATCTCCTAAGTGATCACAGATTCTTTAGATGGCTGCTAGAAAACTTAAGAACAAATTTCCTCTGTACCTTCATAGCAGATTTATAGAACTTTATACCACAGTGCATTTTAGTGCCAACCTTTTTTTTCTGGCTTACTCTTTTCTAGCTTTATCTTTTCCTTGTCTGAATTTTTGGAGATAGTTTAAGAAATTACTTAATAAAAATGGCAACTTTTCTTTTGTCTCATAAAAAACTTGAAAAATACACAGCTTATCAGAGTGTGAAAGAGTCTAGTCTTCAGGTTAGGCAAGAGCAAAATCCTGATTTTTGCTCATCACCTTAACATTGGATCTGAGCTCATTTAAATTCCAAATTTAATAAGAACCACTTATCGATCACGTATATTCATTTTGTTTTTCAACAGATATTTATTGGGCACTACTATGTATCAAACACTGTGCTAAGTCCTTTGCATTCATTGTCTCATTTAACACTTATGAGCCTACAAGTCAAGTATTATTATCTTCATTTTACATCTGAGATCATGCAGGTGGCAGAACCAGGATTTAAATTCATAGTTCTCCGATTGCAAAGCCCATAACCTTAACCAGTAGATTTATTTATTTTTTTTTAAATTTTTTTTATTGTTATGTTAATCACCATATATTACATCATTAGTTTTTGATGCAGTGTTCCATGATTCATTGTTTGTTCATAACACCCAGTGCACCATGCAAAACGTGCCCTCCTCAATACCCATCACCAGGCTAACCCATCCCCCCACCCCCCTACCCTCTAGAACCCTCAGTTTTTCAGAGTCCATCATCTCTCATGGTTCGTCTCCCCCTCTGACATACTCCCCTTTTCTTCCTCTCCTGTTATCTTCTTCTTTTCCTTTTTTCTTAAAATATGTTGCGTTATTTGTTTCAGAAGTACAGATCTGTGATTCAACAGTCTTGCACAATTCACAGCGCTCACCGTAGCACATACCCTCCCCAATGTCTATCACCCAGCCATCCCATCCCTCCCACCCCCAACCACTCCAGTAACACTCAGTTTGTTTCCTGAGATTAAGAATTCCTCATATCAGTGAGGTCATGTGATACATGTCTTTCTCTGATTGACTTATTTCACTCAGCATAACACCCTCCAGTTCCATCCACGTCGTTGCAAATGGCAAGATCTCATTCCTTTTGATGGCTGCATAATATTCCATTGTGTATATATACCACATCTTCTTTATCCATTCATCTGTCGATGGGCATCTTGGCTCTTTCCACAGTTTGGCTATTGTGGACATTGCTGCTATAAACATTGGGGTACACGTACCCCTTCGGGTCCCTACATTTGTATCTTTGTGGTAAATACCCAGTAGTGCAATTGCTGGATCGAACGGTAGCTCTAATTTCAACTGTTTGAGGAACCTCCATACTGTTTTCCAGAGGGGTTGCACCAGCTTGCATTCCCACCAACAGTGTAGGAGGGTTCCCCTTTCTCCACATCCCCGCCAACATCTGTCGTTCCCTGACTTGTGAATTTTAGCCATTCTGACGGGTGTGAGGTGGTATCTCATTGAGGTTTTGATTTGGATTTCCCTGATGCCGAGCGATGTTGAGCACTTTTTCATGTGCCTGTTGGCCATTTGGATGTCTTCTTTGGAGAAATGTCTGTTCATGTCTTCTGCCCATTTCTTGATTGGATTATTTGTTCTTTGGGTGTTGAGTTTGATAAGTTCTTTATAGATTTTGGATACTAGCCCTTTATCTGATATGTCGTTTGCAAATATTTTCTCCCATTCTGTCGGTTGTCTTTTGCTTAACCAGTAGATTTAAATTGCTTTTCTAACTCCCGAATACTTTAAAGTCCTTTAAATTAGGATATTTCCCCCCAGTAATCCAATTTATTAATTTGTAATGAGGAGTTGCCATCTCATGGACTAAGTGTGTAGTTGCTATGATCAGCCCATTCTCTCCCTTGGGTCATAATGACATAGGGAACAGAATCATAATCAGAAGGTTGTTTCATGACCGTGGAATCAGAACAAGAGAGGTTAAATAAGTAAACGTAAGATGAATGTTTATTAGCATCAGATTTCAATAGGAGTGATTTTGCCTTTGGGATCAGAATGTGTCACGTGCGTTGACTGCAATCCGTATACCCATCTCCACATGAGGGATGCCCTCCTCCTTGGGGTCACAATACTCACATTCCTTCGGCTAAAGCGTCTCTTCCCCATGTGACGCTGGAGAGAGCATTTGCTGCTGTAGCTCTCTTGTCCCTATTCTTCCTCGTTCGTTGCAATTCTAGTCAGTATTTTCTGTAGATATTTTCATATATTCATATAGGTAATAGTCCAGTATATCTGGTCTGGGATCTCACATCTCTTTCAGGTGATTTTTTTCTTCCATATCCACATCCACTGTATGCTGACTTCACACTTTCTCTCTCTGAGGTCTGCGTGTAATCCCTCATTTCTCAAGTGGGAACGGCTCACCTTTCTGTTTAATAATCCTATTTGATTGCACCTTTTCTGGTTATTTGTGCTGTGTGTATTTGTTTTATATAATGTATTTGTAACTGTGAAGTATAAACTGTGCACAAAGTTTAAATTCATGGTTTTTCTCATATTAAAAACAATACTGTCGTTTCTTCATTGATCTCCTCTCCTGGCACCACCCCATTGCAACGCAGGGAGCCACAGATTCTTATTTGTTGGTTCAGTTTATTGTTGTTGTTGTTTTTCCTTAGTTCTAGTTTTAATTGCTTCTGTTACAGTTGTTCTGGATTCTCCCCAGAAACACTTATTCTTAGCCTGGCTCTCCTTTTCCTTTACCCTGTGGTTGTCACCATCTTTTCTTATTTCTATCTTACGGGTCTTTCCTTGTGTGTTCTGGGAGACCTTTTCAAGTTTGAACTCTACTGATAAGACAGGGCGCTGGAAAAAGAAGAAGATAGCAGGAGGGGAAGAATGAAGGGGAGTAAGTCAGAGGGGGAGACGAACCATGAGAGACGATGGACTCTGAAAAACAAACTGAGGGTTCTAGAGGGGAGGGGGTGGGGGGATGGGTTAGCCTGGTGATGGGTATTAAAGAGGGCACGTTCTGCATGGAGCACTGGGTGTTATGCACAAACAATGAATCATGGAACACTACATTAAGAACTAATGATGTAATGTATGGTGATGAACATAACTAAAAAAAAGGGCGCTGGGCTGGCTCAGTCAGTAGAGCAGGTGACTCTTGATCTTGGGGTTGTAAAGTGAAGCCCCATGTTGGGCGTGGAGCCTCCATTAAAAAAAGACTTTTGCCACTTTCATCTCTTCCCTATGGCCTATAATGTTTATTTCAATTTTGCTGTTGTACGTTTTGTTTCTCATGTTCCCTATTTCCTTTTTCATTTTATTTCATTGGCTTTTCACCCCAGCCAGTTATATATGACTCTCTGCCCCTGTTTCAGAGAGTTTTCATGTGGAGGAATCCTTGTGAGTTTCATAGCAAATTATTTTCAGAGATAGGTTGTTTTCTCTTCAGGATAATTTTCCTTTACCTTGTGGTACATTATTTTTCATAGGCATCAGGTTATTTTTTTCCCCCTGTTAATTCGTCTTCATATTAAGAGCTATCTCTAGAGCTAGCAGAGCCGGATGACAGAGATGCATAGATTGCTTTTGGCTCCACTTCTTGTCCATCTGGTGGAATTCCTTTCTCAAAGCTGTAGCTTCTTTTGTGGTACCTGTTAGGCATATAGCTAATGCCAGTGTGCCAGACTGACATGGGACCTTCTCTTACTTCCCACCATCCCCTGCATGCCCTGCTCCCGGGGTTCTTGCCCTTCCCATTTTTATCCGTAATGCTTTGAGGCATGTACTTTGCAGGATGAACCACTATCAAGGCTCCCTCTGCTGTCTGTTCCTCTGGTATTTGGAAACTACAAGCTTTGAAATTGGATTTGAAAGATGGAGGCATTCTAAAAGGTGGCATTATAGAACAGAGGGACAGATCCTAGTCTTCTAGCTGGCACAAGCCCAGAGTCTGGTCCAGTGTTTTAAAAATGTGAAAACCTATCTTCCTTGTTTAGGTGAGCAGAGCTATTCTTTCTCTGAGATCTTTCAGGAAGCAAAGCATAGGCATTCCTGTGTTCTTAGGCTGACTCTGTCTACCTTGGAGTTCCTGAACATTTCTACCTAGACTCTGACAGTAGATTGTGAGCCTAGGTGATGTTTAGTATTTGTTCACATGTTTATATTTATTTAAGGGTGAAGTGAGGAGAGGCTATGACAGGGGCTGCTAGCCATGTATCTTTTTTTGTTACTGAAATGTTCTTTCTCAGTGAAGCTTACATTTGTAGTCTATTGACTGTACCTTTCAAATATACTACCAATTTGTTTTTTGTCTCCTGCAGTTTTATTCTCTTGTGCAGAGTTATCACGCCATGTCTAAATATTCCAGGTGATAAATTATGCAATTTACATAAAAAACTTTACACTGAAGATTTTGCTGTGGTCTCCTTGACACCACAGGCTTCTGGGGGACTGGTTATGCCCTCTTCCTTGACGTAGGTGATGATGACACAGTATATTCACTTACTGATAACTTCTTAAAAATTTATTGAAGTGTAGTTGACACAGAGTATTACATTAGTTTCAGGTGTACAACAGTGATTGGACAACTCTATATGTTATGCTATGTTCACCACAAGTGTAGCCACCGTATGTCACCATACAGCGTTATTACAATAGCATTGACGGTCTTCCTTATGTTGTACCTTTTATCCCTGTGACTTACTCATTCCATAACTGAAAAGCCTGTACCTTTCACTCCCCTTTACCCTTTCTACCCATCCCCCAATTCTTCTGAGAACTTTTTGAGCTGTATACTTATGGTCATTGCATACATGTTGTCCATCAATAAAAAGCAGCATGATGCCAAGGGCAAGGCAGTCAGGGTAGTTTGCTCTGGGTGTAGGCAGTAAAGGGGTGCACTATCTGTAATGAATTTAAAAATAATAACAAACTGACTCCCAAGTTTTTTAAAAAGTGTGTATCTTCTTTGCTCCATTGGATCTTGAGGATTTCATCTTTAATATCTGTTTGGATTTTAACTTGTAAGAAGAGAAGGATTTTATTGTTGTTTTTGTCTGTCTCTGGAATCTTCATAGTGAAAGGTAATTTATATCCAGCAAATTGGGGATACTTTTATATTGCTTCTGTTGTACCATGGAGTATCTTTATGCTATCAATTAGATTTTATTTAATAACCTTTGGTGAGTTATATTGGACAATATGGCTGGGTATAATTTGAGTTGGGAGGAAGATGGAGAGTTAAATTTCAGTCTAGGACACAGATTGGCCTTGGAGTTAGTTTAATTAATGAATTGTTCTCAACTTGTTTCTGGGGCAACTGCCAAACTACCCACAAGTGATTCCCAGAGGAGAATAAAGGAACAGAGGTTGGTATTGAGGGACAGCTTCATGCTATGGGAATCATCTTATGGACTGCAGATCCCCTGGCACATTATGTGCTGAATGGTTATGGCCAGTGGGTTAAGTGGATACAAGTTTAAAAATACTGTAACCTCCATTCCCCTGGCCTTGTGTTTCTTGAGGGGGGGGCGGGGGCGGGCGGCTTTTGTGAGGCTAATAGTCTCACCTCCCTCTTCATCCAGTGGGAGGAACCACCAGGCTGATGAAATTGGAAGAGGAAATGACTTTGTGTGGTTTAGACCGCTGTGAAGGTTCTTTCTTTCTGAGCAGGTTTTCCCTGTTCTTCACGTGATCTTTACTTTCAGAGGCATTTCTAAGCCCTGATGGGAGGAAGCAGGTTCAATCCAGGGATGAAGGAACTAAGTTTAGTTTAGAGGCAAAGTTATCAGGAAGTTCACTTGATTGTTGATTCAAGCTACAATCTGCAATTCAGCTCCATTGATTTACATGGTTGATGTTCTGATCTCCAGTGTCTTCTTTTCTCATTTGGTTTTAGAATTCGGAGGGGGTAATAAAGGAGTGATTAATTATTACTCCTAAAAGTGTGTTTAGGTCTGTTTAAAAACAAACAAAAAAGCCACTATAGTTTAGTACTGGTTTGGATTTTTTTTAACCTAATCTGAGAGTCAGCCTTTTACATGGAGAGTATAAACCATTTACATTTATAATCATAACGAATGTGTTTGTATGTTATTCCATCAATTTGATTTATGCTTTTTGATGTCACCAAATGTATTTAAAGTCATTTTTGTCAAACAAGTCTAGTTGGTGGCAAGTCTTTTCTGCTAATTAATTAATTCTATGTGTGGCCTTATACTGCCTAGGCTTTCAAACCGTTTATATCAATAATATTTTACAGATGCTCTTCCGGAATTGAAAGAAGAGAAGTCACAGCCACCACCAAAACCACGTTCTGGAGCTGTGGCAGAAACATTTAGAATTGTTAAGGACTCTCTCAGTGATGATGTTGTTCAAGCCACTCAAGCAATTTATCAGTTTGAGCTCTCAGGTAAGAAAGATATCTGGGAATGTGGCGCTTTTATGAAATAAAGTAGGATATTTCCCTCAGAAGAAAATGAGCTTCCAGTAGCAATCACTTTGATAGTTGGCTGTATCCAGAACCCTTAACCCTAGAATGTAGACATTCAAGAATAGCAAATAACTACTGATTTATATTTTTAAGTTAATCTCAGTGCATATGGACACATGTAACGTAAAATCTCATTACATAGACTTCCAGTGTAAAATAAATTTTTGGCATATGTAGTTGAGAGAAAATCCTACTTAGGAGGGCATATGGATCATGACAGGTGGTGTAATACAGTAATGTATCATCAGCCACGGCACCTTGCCATTTTTATCTTTGAAATTAAGTCAGTCTGCATGTAGTCAGCTGAAATTATTCAAGTCAGTCTGCATGTAGTCAGCGTTTTCAAACTTACCAGTATTTTTCTTCTCAACATAGTATTAACACATATTAATGATAGCTTTAAGAACTAGCTACTTCAGTCTCATTGAATGCAAACTTTGACATTATCGGTTTTTTCCTTTGTCTCCTCTGTTTCCTCTCTTCTCCTTTTTTCTCCTTAGAGCCCATGGTCCATTGCTTTAATCACTCTCTTGCCTGTATCCTAAATTTCCTGACCTTTTTGTGCTTATGTCACCACCTGTCAAAAGCCTAGTCCTGGATGAATCACATTATCTGACTGTCCCACAGTTGCATCCAGGCTGGCTCCGTCCTCCTGGGGAAATGGAAAAAACCCATCACACTACCAGTAGATCTGTACCAGTAGACATTCATCATCGCCCTTCTTCATCTAGGGTCTCAGTGCGCCTCAGAATTCTGTATTTCTGTGGTCAGCTTCCTGCCTCATTTTCCACAGTGACTAATTTTAACACTTCCCAGTGCTCCACAAATCTCCCATCTCTCCCTTCACCACTTCCCTGCCAGTTTCAGCAGATAACCCCACCTCCTCTTTCACAGAGATAATAGAAACTGGCAGACAAAGTGCTTCAGCTTCCTGTCCTCTGATACCGAATCAGCTGTTATGAGCATCATTCTTTCTTCCTTCCCAGTAGAACAGAGCTCAGCTCTAGATTTATGCATCTCAAGCTTTAATGTTCATAGTGATCATCTGGGACCCTGCTAAAATGCAGAGTCTGATGCAGCATGTCTCAGGTAGGGTCTGAATTCTGCATTTCTGACAGACTGCAGTCCACAGATTGCACTTTGAATAGCAAAGTTGTAGATCCCATTTCCTGTGGCCTCCTCAGGGACTTTGTGCTATTAATTATGCCCTCTCTCTCACCTGCGTATCCTGCAGCCTGCTTTCCGGTGATAATTTAACATTCTCAAAGTCTATTTCGTCTTTAAAACAAAACACAACGTCCCTAACCCCACTTCTTACCCCCACCATTCCTCTCCCTTTCACAGCCAAACTTCTCTTCATCTAGAGTTCACTCTACTCAGGTATCGTATTTCTCCATTCCGCTGAATTATGCTGTGACCACGGTCCTTGGTGACCTCTATATCATCAGTGGGCCTTTGTCAGTCTTACCTTGTCACCACTCTACGGCATATGAAGTTGTTGACTGCTCTTGCCTTCTGGAAAGGCCCCTGTCCTTGGCTTCCCTGACAGTAGCTCTCCTTGCTTTCCTCCTCTGTCTGTAATCATCCTCGTCAGTTACAGACTTGCCCTAGGAAACCTCAGTCACTCACACGGCTTCAGTGACCATAGGCAGTGATTACTTATGTATATATTTTTAGCCTCATCAGACGTCATTTGACATTTTCACTTGGTTGTCACAAAGATGCCTCAATCTGAAAATGTCTAAAACTTAGCTCACCGTTCCCAACACCTGGCTCAGACACTGCCTGTTCAATCTGCTCTTCTTCAGTAGTCCTCTCTCAGTACAAAATACATCCATACTTACCTGGTTTCCTGAGCCAAAAACTGGCAAATCATTTCTTATGCACTCTCCATCCCTTTTCCTCATCATATTCATTTACTGAGTCTTGTGTTTCTGCTTTGACGTTCTCTCTCAAATATGCCTATTTCTCCCCAATCCCACAGCCACAGTCCTGATCCAGGCACACATCCTCAAGTTCCCAAACTACCCCAGTACCATCCTGCCTTGCCTTTTGCATCCTCTTTATCCCTCTCAGTGTATTCAACACGGTGCTCTTAGGGCGATCTATTTAAAGTGCCAGCCTTATGTCATTCTTCTTCCATGGCACATCCCTTAGGATGAAGTCAGTGGATCTTTCAGATGGCCCACTACCCCCTACCTCTGGGCTGCTTCATGAGCTCATCTCAGCCACTCTTCATTCTCTTTCTACCTTTAGTCCTCCTACACTGTTTTCAGCTCCTCATCTGGCTAATTCTTACCTGACTTTTCAATCTCATCTTCCACGGGGCTTGCCTGACTCCACATTACCCTCTACTTCGTCTTGTTTAAGAGCCATGTTACTGCAGGGTCTTCAGAGCCTAGCCCAGTGCCTGGCACGGAAGTACTTAATAAATATTTACTGAATTTGATAGAGGCCCGAGGGTTTTAACCTGGAAAACAGCATTATGTAAAATTATTCTAACTGTAGCACTTACTGAATTTAAGAAGAACGGGGCTTCTTTGGCATTTTTTTCCATATCTTTGTATTTTGTGTAGGTGAAGATGGTGGAACGTGGTTTCTTGATCTTAAAAGCAAAGGTGGGAATGTTGGATACGGAGAGCCCTCTGATCAGGCAGATGTGGTGATGAGTATGTCTACTGATGATTTTGTAAAAATGTTTTCAGGTGAGTTTTCAATTTTATTAATTTACTGATTGTTCAAGGAAAATTTACTTCTAACTTTATTCCTTTCCAAATAATCGAGACTTGTGTTTGTAGCCGTAGAATCTGAGCGGCTATTGATGTTAAAGAGCACATAGTCTTCAGAAGGTGGGTCTTACTGTTTGGTAAGTTCTTACTGTTCAGCCAACAAGTGGGAAGTCGAAGTTAGAATTTCCTTTTTGTGTGACTGAGAAGCGCATAAGATAATCTTGGGAATAGAGAGGTAATTCAAAAGGACTCATAGGTGGACTTTATTTCTACTAGTTGGACTAAAATAGCCTTTCCAATAACACCTGGGACACAGGCGGTGCTAACCTCAGCTGGACCTCATTTATTCAGAGTAAGGTCTTGCTTTGATCTTGGCACGACTGTAATAGGAAACAGGGGCCCTCTCCTGTGGCCCCGCGATCCTGCTTTCTGTGAAATCCTTAACCAAGAGAACCTTTTGCATAGTTTTCTGTTCTGCCTGTGTACCTCTTAACTATGCCAGAGAATTTTAAGGGAATTTTTTCTATTTTCTACTCTTAGAATACTACTCCAAATGGTAATTATCACATGTATTTATTAGAAACAACACTTTAATAACATTCTAATAAAAAAAATTCAGTTAGTGATCTATAAATGTAATTCATTCTTTGTTCTGTTTTAATCTTCATAAATTGAAGATCACAGTGTGTACTCTGTGCCCTCTAGATCTTGCTTTCCAGTTCCTTTTTTTTTTTTAAGATTTTAGTCATTTATTTTTGAGAGAGAGCATGCATGAGTGGGGAGGAGGGGCAGAGGGACAAGCAGACTCCCCGCTGAGCAGGGAGCCGGATACGGGACTCGATCCCAGGATCCCAGGATCCCAGGATCCTGACCTGAGCTGAAGGCAGACGCCCAACCCACTGAGCCACCCAGGCGCCCATTGCTTTCCAGTTCTAATCCAGGATGCTAATGGCCTACATATTATCTGAGCCAGTCTGTGTATGTTACTAGTCATTGAGGTCTCAACTTTTCCTTTTTTTTTTTTTTTTAAGATTTATTTATTTTAGAGTGCGAGAATGGGGGTGGGGGCAGAAGGAGAGAATCTTCAAGCGGACTCCCCACTGAGCGCAGAACCCAGTGCAGAGCTCAGTTTCACAAACCATGAGATCATGACCTGAGCTAAAACCAATAGTCAAACACTTAACTGATTGAGCCCTCCAGGCGCCCCGACCTTTTTTTTTTTTACGGTAGTATTAAATAACTCATGGTACAAAATCAGAAAATACACTTAAGAAAAAGCAAAACAAAGATACTTCTTTTTTTAAATATTTATTTTTTTTTAAAGATTTTATTTATATATTTGACAGAGACAGAGAGGGAACACAAGCAGGGGGAGTGTGAGAGGTAGAAGCAGGCTTCCTGCGGAGCAGGGAGCCCGATGCGGGGCTCGATCCCAGGACCCTGGGATCATGACCTGAGCCGAAAGCAGACACTTAATGACTGAACCACCTGGGCGCCCCTATTTATTTGTGTTTTAAGATTTTATTTATTTATTAGAGAAAGAGAGCATGAGCAGGGGAGAGGGGCAAAGGGAGAGGAAGAAGCAGAGTCCCCGCTGAGCAAGGAGCCCAATATGGGACTCGATCCCAGGACACTGGGATCATGACCTGAGCCGAAGGCAACCGCTTAACCAACTGAGCCACCCAGGCACCCCAAGATTTATTTATTTTAGAGAGAGAGAGAGAGAGTGCATGAGCAGGGGGAGGGGCATAGGGAGAGGGAGAGAGAATCTCAAGCAGACCTCCCCACTGAGTGAGGAGCCTGACACGGGGCTCAATCCAGGACCCTGAGATCATGACCTGAGCTGAAATCAAGAATCAGCCGCCTATCCAACTGAGCCACCCAAGTACCCCTAAGCAAAATAAAGATACTTCTTTAAAGAATCGCACTACTGAGAAATCAACCATTAGTTGATTTTGGTTTAGAGTCATATATATTTCTGTGAATGTATATAAATATACACGTGTGCTTATAAAAACAGGATTATAGCATTACTGCTGTTTGGCAGTGTTTTTCACTCACACATTTTAACATCTTTCAGTGTTAATAATTATCTCTTTAGTCATTTTCAGTAGTGTCTTAAGTGTTTTAGTATTCCAACAACTATGTCCTCATAAAACTTAAAGTGCTTTGGACATAGATGCTCAGTAAATGTTGGCAAATTTATATTTTATAAATAATATTTTGAACTTAAAGATCATTTAAAATAAACATTGTCAATTTCTAAACTGAAATAATAATTATAGCTAATATGCACTGTATGATTACTATGAGTTAAGCAATACTCCAGGGGTGGCTGGGTGGCTCAGTCGTTAAGCGTCTGCCTTCGCCTCAGGTCATGATCCCGAGGTCCTGAGATCGAGCCCTGCATCGGGCTCCCTGCTCAGCAGGAAGCCTGCTTCTCCCTCTGCCACTCCCTCTGCTTGTGTTCCCTCTCGCTGTGTCTCTCTCTGTCAAATAAATAAGTAAAATCTTTAAAAAAAAAACAACCACAATACTCCACACAGTGCTTGGAGATAAAATATTTCCTCCATTTTACAAAAATGGAAACTGAGACACCAATGGATTAAATAATAAACTGGAGGTCACATAGTGAAGAAACGTTGAAGCCAAAATTTGAATCCAAGCTAACTCTTGGGCTTATGCTCTTTTAATCATTACGCTACTCTGCCCTCCAAAGGTGAAAGTCAAATGACTTCTTTAATTTATATTTTATTTGTGTATCATTAACCTGTAGTAATGGGCTTTCCATTTATATCTTTCTGTGAATGTGCTCCTGGATTGACTAGGGGAAGTCAGTCAGATAAAGGAGTAACTTAAAAAAAAAAGAGTATTCTTACAAGGTTTCTTACAGCGACAGTGACTTGACTTCTGCTTCTTACGTCCTTTTGTTCTTCCTCATTATTCCGTCTGCTTTCCTTTGAAGGGCCACAATTTAGACCTTATATCCTTGTATGGTTTCTCTTTTAAGAAACCATAGCCATTTCTGACCTAATTTGTATAGTGGATACTTTATAAATAGAAAAACTTTAAGCAACTAGTGATCATCTAATCAAAATCTCCTTTTGGCCAGTAGGGGCCACTGTAGGGTTGAGCATTAGAATAGAAAGGAAATAAATTGTACAAGATTACCTGTTTAATATAGGGAGGAGATACGATGTTGTGCTTACTAGCTATTTTAAAATTATTTTTTAAACAGTTTTATTGAGGGATAATTTACATATCATAAAATATGTATAAAGGTTAAACATGATTTTTAGTAGATTTATAGAGTTGTACACCCATCGCTTACAATCCAGTTTGAGAAATTTCCATCACGCTGGAAAATTCTCTCATGTCTCATTGTAATCATTCCCCATTTTTACCCTCAGCTAGCCAAACACTAATTTGTTTTCTGTCTCTATAGATTTCTGAATAGTTGATGTAAATGCAATCAAACAGTATATAGTCTTTTGTATCTGGCATCATTGACCATAAGGCTTTTGAGATTCATCCATTCATGTTGTAGCATGTATCAGTAGTTCAGTTCCTTTTTATTGCTGAATAGTATTCAACTGTATGGATATACTACGTACTATTTATCCACTCACCAGATGGTGGACATTGGATTATTTTAAGTTTTGGGCTATTGTGAATAACGCTGCTCTGCGTATGGTCGTACATGTATTTGGGTGGATGTGTATTTTCATTTCTCTTAGATTCCTAAGAGTGGAATTGCTGGGTCACATGGTAAGTAGATAACTTTTGAGAAACTGCCAAACCATTTGCTAAAGTGGCTGTACTAATTTTACTTTCTCATTAGTAATGTATGAAGGTTCCAGTTTCTCCAAATTCTCACCGAAACTTACTAGTGTTGGGTTTTTTTTACAGCTTTATTGAGGTATATTTGACAAAAACTATATATATTTAAGGTATAAAACAGAATGACTGGATACATATACATTGTTAAATAACTATAATCAAGCTAATTAACACATTCATCATCCTACATAAAATTACCTTTTCTATGTTTGTAGTGAGAACATTTTAAGATCTAAGCAAATTTCAAATATGCAATACAGTATTATTAACTGTAGTCACCATGCTGTACATTAGATCCCCAGGAATTATTCAACTTATAGCTGAAAGTTTGTACCCTTTGACCAGCATCTCCCCATTTCTCTCACCCCCAACTCCTGGCAACCACCATTTTACTCTGTGCTCCTGGATTCCACTAAAAGTGAGATTATACAATATTTGTCTTTCTGGGTCTAGGCTCATCCATGTTGTCACAAACGTTAGTGTCTTTGATATTATAGCCATTCCAGTGAGTGTGTGGTGGTATCTCTTTGTGACTTTAATTTGTATTTCCTTAACATTGAGCATCTTTCCATGTGCTTAATAGCTCTTTACATTGATGAACTGTTCAAAACTTTAGCTCGTCTTTAAATTGACTTGTCTTTTTATTATTAAATTGCAAAATTCTTTATAAATTCTAGATGCATGTGATTTGCAAATATTTTCTCTCAGTCTGTGTGCCTTATCTTTTCATTTTCTTAATGATGTCTTTTGAGTTACAGGAGTTTTTTAGAATTGATAAAGGCTAATCCATCAATTCTTTCTTTTATGGTTCATGCTTTTTCCCTGAAGTATTTCATTCTTCTTTATGCTGTTGTGAATGGAATTATTGTCTTTAATTTTATTTTTGAATGATCTGTTCCTAGTATACATAAATACAGTTAATTTTGTGTATTGATTTTATATCCTGCGAAAAACCAGTGAAGCCATTTGGACCTGGGATTTTTTGTGGGAAAATTTTGAATTATTAATTCAATTTATTGTTACATGTAACAGTAGCTTTTATTTTTTAACAGCTTTATTGAGGAATAATTCACATACCGTACAATTCATCCATTTAAAGTGTACAGTTAAATAGTTCTTAGCATATTCACAGATAT